GAGACAGCGGAGCTAAACTAACGAAGCCACATTCAAACTCGCCGAAGCATAAAATAGTCTTCGCGGTCCGTAGTCGGTGCACAAGAACCACCGCTGCACCGCTGCGAGCGTTCTGGGCTCGTGGATGACGTCATCATGACGCGTTAATATCCGCCTGTCTGTTGTCTGTTGGGTGCGTGCAAATTTAGGGGTAAAAAAGTATCGTGACTTCGTCAACCACCAACATGTTCGTCTCGTTAACAAAAGTTAGAATGGATTTAGTCATAGTTTTTATTTTTTAAGATTAGTCTCGTCTTAGTCATGGCAAAAAAGGTCGTTAACGAACATTTTTCGTCATAGTTTTCGTCGACGAAATTAACACTGCTGTAGAAAAAGGAACATCTGCCTGTCTAACTGGCACTTTTGCAGCCGCAGTGTATCACATGCAAAACACTGTCAAGGGCCGGATTTCTGGTCATCCAGGTTACGTGCAAGGTCCCATCCTCTGTTTGGCTACCATATCCAGCAGGTGATGGAGCACTTATATTTTCTTTGGATGGCATGCCCTGTATGACTGCCATACCATCAAAAAGAATGGCACCATTCACTTGAACTTGGTCAAACAAGCAGTCTTCACCATTGTTTTAGATCTATGAGAGCTGATTTATTTGTTTTGGCAAGTAAACCATCAGCACTTGCTAATGATATGACACAGTTCCCAAGGAATATGATGTCGGGGGAAAATTTTGAGCCTGCGTAGGGTGAGGCTCTCAGGAATGTGACCTTTTATGTGAGCCTGTGACCTAAGGCAGTCCAGTGTGAGCTAAGACACAGATGGAACCATAAGTGCCCTGACTGACCCTTTAAATGTTATTGATTGACTAGGTCCCATTAAGGGAGGATCACTAGTTAAACTGTATTTCCACTTCAGGCAGAGAGTACACATCCCCAAGGTGTTACTCTGTGATAAACAGGACATTCTGGTGTACCATTCCAAAATGAGAGCCTCTCAAAATACCATACATGAGCAAATTTCCTTTAAATTCTCCATCAAGAGACTACATCTGGTCAATTTCGGATTAGATTGAAAACGAAACTATCAATAGTAAAAAGATCATTTGACTTCAGGCGGATAGTAAACATCCCCAAGGTGTCACGTAGGGTTAATCAGGACATTCTGATCTACTATTCCAAAATTAAAGCGTCTCAAAAAACCATACATGAGCCAATTTGTATCAAATTCTCCATTATGAGACTATCTTTGGTCGATTTCAGGTCAGAATTAAAAGGAAATTATCAATAGTTACATGATGATTTCACTTCAGACTAATAGTATGCATCCCCGGGGTGTCATACAGGGATAGGCAGGACATTCTGATGTACTATTCCAAAATGAAAGCCTCCCAAAATACCATACATGAGCCAAAATATCAATCACAAGACTACATCTGGTCATTTTCAAATTACATTTAAAAGGAAAAAATCAATAGTTCCACAGTATTTCCACTTCAGGCATAGAGTACACATCCCCAAGGTCACACTCTGTGATAACCAGGATATTCTTATGTACTATTCCAAAATTAAAGCCTCTCAAAATACCATACATGAGCCAAAATATCAATCACAAGAATACATCTGGTCAGTTTCGAATTACATTGGAAAAGGAAACTATCACTAGTAACATGATCATTTCACTTCAGACGGATAGTACATATCCCCAAGGTTACTCAGCAATAACCAGGACATTATGGTGTACTATTTCAAAATTAAAGCCTCTCAAATTACCATACATGAGCCGATATCCTTTAAATTCTTCATCAAGAGACTTCTTTTGTTCAAGTTCAAGTTATGATTAAAAGGAAACTATCAATAGTTACATGATTATTTCACTTCGGACTGATAGTAGACATCTCCAAGGTGTCACCCAGGGATGAGAAAGACATTCTAATGTACTATTTTAAAATTAAAGCCTCTCAAAATACCATACATGAGCCAATTTCCTTTAAATTCTCCATCAAGAGACTACTTTTGTTCAAGTTCAAGTTAGGATTAAAAGGAAACTATCAATAGTTACATGATTATTTCACTTCGGACTGATAGTAGACATCTCCAAGGTGTAACCGAGGGATAAACAGGACATTCTTGCAAGAGTTATAACTTCCAAATAATTTTGCCTGTCCTCACGAAACTTGTAACACATGTGAACATTGACCTGAATCTGACCTGAAATTGACCAACAGTAGTCTCATGATGGAGAATTTGAAGGAAATTGGCCCATGTGTGGTATTTTGAGAGGCTTTAATTTTGGAATAGTACATCAGAATGTCCTGCTTATCCCTGGATGACACCTTGGGGATGTGTACAATGAACCTGAAGTGGAATTATCATGTAGCTATTGGTCCTTTCCATTTTAAATACCATCTGAAATTGATTATAAGGCTGGTGAATGAGATTTAAGGGAAGGTTTGGTGGTCTATGGCATTTCGCGTTGCTCCACGCGGTTAACGACAACTGACTCGTGTATGTGTGTATGCACACACATATGCATGTGCGGTATGCTTGTCCAGCGGCCGCAGGAGTTCTTGGCTGCTTATCTAGCCGTCCGGCCTGTGCCTCGATGTGTGGAGTTGCGATGACCCATCCAACGCTGCTCGCAGCTTTAATTCTTATTAGTTTTTTCTCTAGGGAATTTTCCCTGTTTGAGTCCTTTATCATATTCAAAAAGTTGTTAAATTTGGCACGCATATCAGAACTGGTGAAAAATTTGATATTTTGGGGGTTTCCCATTTGGGTACGAAGAAATGTCTCCATAGAGCCCCTTAGAAAAGTAAAAAAGTACCCCACTAGGCCAGTTTTCCACGCTGATGGCCGATCGACTTGAAATTTGGCAAACATGTGCTCTTGGACATGCTCTACAAAAAAGTCAATCATGGTATGCAAATGCACTTAACTAGATTTTCCGCCATTTTGAATTTTGTGAAAAACACGTTTTTTGTCATTGTTTTTGTCAGAATCTGAAAATGACCAGATGTAGTCTTGTGATTGATATTTTGGCTCTTGTATGGCATGTTGAGTGGCTTTAATTTTGGAATAGTAGATAGGAATGTCTTGCTTATCCCTCGGTGACACCTTAAGGATGTATGTAAGGATGTTCAACAACCTCTTCCAAAAAGCCCCATAGGCTCCAATACAAATCTGCCGACATATTTCTCAAAATATCCAGAAGCTACACGTTTTGTAAACTGTGACAGGAGCCGTATTTATTTTCAGACAGACATAAAAACCGCATCCATGCGTTCAGTAGAGTCTTGGGTCTCTCACAAACGCCTTATTTTTTAGATAGCTGTTATAGTTTTGCGCTGGTGAACACTTGTTTGAAGTGTGGATTCTGTGTAACTCGCTGTCCTGTCTCTGCCCTTTGCAGAAGCTCGTTAATGTCTCGTTAATGGCTCGTTATCTACAGCCCCCCACCCCACCCAATCCAATCAAAATAAAAGCCCCATGGAGGGAATTTTTACTGTAATGTTTGTGATTAGGCCTATTAATTAAAAACTTCTTAGTTTGAATAACAAACATTCTCTCTCCCAACCCCCCCCTCACCAAATTCCATCATTACAAAATAAAAGCCTCAATGATTATCTGTAGCATAACCATGAAGCTCAGAATGAAGCGGTTTCATTGAAATACGTATTGCTCTTTCAAATACTACTACAACCACTAAGCATGTTACTAGTACTTCTAGTACTACAACTGATACTGCCATACTACTAGTATTTCTACTGCTATTAATAAATGTAATGTTATTACAAATACTACTATGGCTAATAATATCAGTATTCCAGCTGTTTCTACTGCTATTGATACTGAACCGACTTCTACTGCTAGTACTACTAATACCACAATTACAACAATAACTAATACTACTAATATTACTACAAACAATTTTAAATCTCTTTTTATTCATCTCAGCTTTTGTTATTTCTGTACTTTTTAAAATTCAATTAAGCTTCTGCAACTTCTGTATTTTTTAGAAAATCTATTGAAATTCAGCTTCCACTTCCTGTATTTTCAGCAGTTTTTTAAAATAATTTCTGCTTTTCCTATGCCTCTATTAACAGCAATGTTTTAGTATTCATTTCTGTATTTTCTTTTGCAATATTTCACATTTATTTCAGCTGTTTTCATTTCAGCTTTTTCAGCAAATCTATTGAAATTCCTTTCAGCTTCTCCCATTTCTGTATTTTCAGCAATTTGAAATTAATTTCAGCTTTTCTAATATCTGTAATTTCAGCAAATGTATTCAAATCCCCTTCCGAAAATACCAACAAGCCGAAAAACTGAAATTAATTTTAAAAAAAATGCTCATGATATAGAAATGACAATGTACCAGCAAGCTCAAAGATGAAATTAAGTTCAATTTCTGAAAATATTGAAATTTCCAATGGCTTTGCTGAATAAGTGTTAATGCCAAAAAGTGAAGACCAGCACAGCAGGAAAACATAATATTTTAATTTCATTGGCAGTGTGGAAGATGAAGTGCATTTAACAAAGCTAAGAGTTGAAATACAACACAAAAGAAGATCCCGTCTTTACATCCTTTTTTGACTCATTATCTTCTATCGAAATATAATGAAATAATATAGATGAGTACAGTGCACAAGTACTGTTGTATTGGTCATAATTATTTGGAGTATTTCGTGAAAGATAACATCTTAGAGTGAGAAATGTATCAACACAATTTTGTGAACATTGGTCTCTGTGTTATTCATGAATACATTTACTATAGTTTCAATAGTTAACAATATGGTTCATTTCCTACAATCAAAGGTTTTTCACATCGTTTCCAGACTTAGGGTAATACTCAGTTCAAGACTTAGAGGTCCAGGAGTCCTGGACAGATAAGTCTTGTCAACATTGTTGTTTAGACTATCCCAGCGTTAAACTCAGTTTACTGAGGCTCACAGACACACTGGGTTCTCCTTACTTTGATGGAACATTGGGTTAGAGTCACTTGTTGACTCAAGGTTAGGACCCAAGCTTTGTAGGATTTGTTTTCCTATTAAATCTTTTGACAAGGCTCTTTGCACCAAGTCATGTTTTAGCCATCTGAAGATGAAACACTTGATGGATTTCACAGTCTTACAATTTAACACTGGGCAGCCTCAGTAGAGTTTAGGTTATCCTAAGGATCGGTGTACACATGTGAAAAACCTTTAATATACCTACCAGCTGAAACCCCATACTAATGACTCATTGTGATACAAATATGTCATTTCTTCAAGGTTAATTTGTTCATATGCACGAGGCAATCAAACAAACATTTTCATCCTTAATTTTCTCATAAATCTGACTGAAAAGGGACGGATGACAAATAAAAAAATAATAAATAAATAAATACAATCAACAAAAAAAAATGCGATGAAACATAAGGAAAACGTATATTGTTAGATCAAATACGGTAGAGATGAAACAAACAAAATAGACAGGTGTCCTGTAGTAATACTGTTCATGAGTTAGTAGTGTATGCTCTGAAGACCTGTAACATTATGACCTTTGACCTGTGCAGTGGCTGTAGATCCACTGCTCCAGTTATCACATCAGGATAGTGTTACTATAGCTACATGGAGGAGGAGAGGCCTTAAAGACAGAAACAGAAGAAAATGTATTCATGTTGTTAAAAATGTAAACAGCACATGCAAGTAGGAAGACTACCAGGGGATTGTTTTGTTGTGCTCAGAGATATATTTTTAAAAAGATCTAATCCCAGTTGTTACCTTTACAGCTGGTTTAGGGAGGAGCTTGAAGCTGCATAAAGGTGAGGTTTTCACTGGGACAGTGATGACTGACTGATGACTCTTCCTTGCAGTCACACACCTGATACTGACAAAAATAAAAGGAAGTTATTGTTAGAAACTCAACTTTCTAAAAAGGTTTATAATTCACAGTAATGAAATACCTTGAACTCTGCTGCAGAGCAGATCAACATATAGGTCCAGTGAAACTGAATACGCTGCATGATGTTCAGCTTCTTTTGTGTTCAGCGCTCTCTGGAGTCCTGAGTGTCTTCACTGTGAAGTGGAGGAATCACAGAGGAGGAAGACCTGAAGGAAGAAGTGGATATAACATTAGAATGTTATATTGGATGTACAATTAGTGTTATTAAGAACACGCATTCATACAAAATGAATACGTGAATGATAACAAAATTAAAACAAAACATTAGAAATCACATATGAAATAAGAAAACAACACCTTATTATCTGTTGTGAAGAAACCTCAACACTGGCAGGGAGAACACGTGTCTCTGTGGTCCAGTAAGTGTCCACTGATGATGAACAGTTAACACGGTGCTTCAACATCTGCTCTGCAGTGGTGGCAGGATGTCCTGGTCGGTATGAGCTGATCCCGAATCTCAGAGCCAGACAGGAAGTGAGGCGAAGACAGGCAGGTGTTTTCTCGTCCTTTGCTTTGAAGAATGACGGGGACAGGCAGGAAGTCAAATGTGTCCCTATGGGGTCTAACTGTGATGGGTCCTCGGTTGATTGACAGTTCAGTTGGTGCTACAGTCTTTGTCATGTCTTAGATGCTGTGAGCTGATCCTCACAGTGCAGAAGGAGGTGAGGCCAAGACTGAAAGGTGTCTTTACAGAGGATAAGGGAGGACTGTGTCTCCTGTCCATCAGAAAGGAAACATAACACTACAAAGACACATGAGAACTTTGTCTCCTGTCCATCAGAAAGGAAACGTAACACTATAGAGGACACAGGAGGACTGTGTCTTCTGTCCATTACAAAGGAAACTTAGCACTACATAGGAAACATGACAATTGTGTCTGCTTTCAATACAAAGGAAACTTAACACTACATAGGAAACATGACAATTGTGACTGCTTTCAATACAAAGGAAACTTAACACTACAGAGAACACAGGATAATTAAAATTAAATTAATGGGGATGGAAGTGTGGGGTTTCAGCTAGTAGGTACATCAGAAAGTATGTGTTCTATAGAACACATACTTTCTGATGTGCGTCTGCTAAACTAAATGTCAGCAGCTGTGTACAATGAATTTTACATTGTATACAGCTGCTGAAAGAGTTTTGGCCTGTGCATTTATCAACGCTGAACCAAACCCACCCTGATAAATGCACAGGCCAGAATGTGTTAGAAATATTGCTAAAAATAGCATGTTTACCTGGAAAACTATGTGACCCATAATATTATCCAATACTGTGAACACTTAAAATTAGCCCATTCTACAATCTTATTACAGTGCAACAACTAGTTTGACCAGATGATTCAGTTTTCTTTACATTGAAGATTACATAATCCCAGACTAATTACAATGTGGTATTGTTTAAAAAAAGTACATGATTCTCAGTAGATTTTGATCTTAGCTGACAATTTTAAGACCTGTTGGAGGAATGTAGACAGAAAACATGATTGTGACAAGTGACATGTTTTTTACTGTACCAGAGTGGAGGCCCTGCTGTGGTGGAAAGATGGAAACGGCTGTATGGCGGATCCCCCTCCTCTGTATAATCATGCATTGTATTACATCAATGTATATACAAGTACATTGCATTTTTCTTTAAAACTCACCTGATACCTTTATGGACTGTTAGATGACATGACACAGTAAACAGGGTTGTGATAACTGTAATAAGTTCTCATCACACCAGAGTAGAGACAGCGTTGTGGTTGAGATATGAAAATGAGGTCCAGCAGTGTGTTCTTGTCAGTGGTTGCATTACTGATGACTTGTGCAAATCCTCTGGACTGGAAGAGCTCAAGGATTGGCTTATCAGTGTTGGAGAAGAGATTCTCGTTGAAATCACCACAGACAATGATGGGCTGACAGTCCATGATCTCCAATGAGTCCAGCAGGCTCCCCAGGTTGGACAGGAATGATCTCACACTGTCGTCTGGAGGTCTGTACACAGCTGCAATCAGGGCTCTCACTGGGGCTTCTACCTTCAGAGCCACAAACTCAAGATCGGTCACATTATGTTCGTACTGTTTCTCACGCACCTGAATGTGGCTTTTCACATAAACAGCAACTCCACCACCACCTCTGTTGGCTATTTGTGGAACATTTGTGTAGGACAGGTGTCTGTTGCGTTTGAACATGTTGTAGCCCTCTAAATGGAGACTCTCTGCAACAAAGGAGCCTTGAAGGTGAGTTTCTGTGAGACACAAAACATCTGCAAGACATAGTGACACTACAGCTGATGTCCTTGTCATACCCTGAACCCTGTGTATCGTACAGGCAAAGGCAAGTCTAACAGGAAACTGTCTGCGTACAACTCCTTTCTGTTTCAGATTGTCCTCTGCTCTCTCTATGTACACCACATCATCTGGGCCGCCTGGTGCTCTATTACGGTAATTCCTTCCAGCAGTTTGATCATCCATCTTGAGCCCGAGCATAGTGACATGTGCAACACCACTCTGTTCTGAGGTTATTACCCTGACTAGTGTAGCAAACGATCCATTCACCAATCCCTGAGACACGTCTATGTTTCTGGTGAGCATGACTCGAGCACCTTCAGCTACGTTTAGTGTGTCTGGTAACTAATTTCTGTTTCCTTTGCATGGTTGGGCTTGTCGAGCCATTCTTCCAGTTCGTGGGTCCTTCTTGTAGTCATCTGCATCGATCTTGGTCATATTAGAATGGAGCAGAGCTAATGTTACTGAGTTGTGTGAATCGACCTGTTTATTAGTTGCAAAGATGTGCAGGACATCAGGTGGACAAAGTGATGGTTCAGTGATGGTCTGTGACAACAAGGCTCTATCTGCTTGAGACAACTCACCTGACTTTCCTTTCACACAGATCCGGTTCAACATCTCTGCAAAGGCAACATCATCCTTCTGCCGCATAATCTCAGTCAGGGTGATTGTCTGAAAGTGTTCCTGCCATAGATCAATCTCACATGGCTCGTACACACAGAGGGTCTTGGACTGTCGCACTGGTGGTAGCTGATAAAAGTCTCCAACAGCTATTACTGACATTCCTCCAAAGGGTTTGGGACTGCATTTGATCTGTTTCAGTCTCGCATCCACATAAGCAAACAGGGGCTTTGACACCATGGACACTTCATCAATGATGAGGATTTCAGCATTTAAAAGTTCTGATCGGACTTCATCCAGTTGGTTACCAAGTCCTTGAAATGGAGGTTTCAGACTTCGTGGAAGCTTGAGCAGAGAGTGCAGTGTTGATCCTGATATATTGAAGGCTGCAGTTCCAGTGAAAGCTGTCAACAGGGCCGTGGGGTTTGATATGTCGACCTCCTCAGAATGGCTGGGCAGTTTGCACAGTATCTTAGATGCTTCTGAGTAGATGCATTTAATGAGATGTGACTTTCCTGTTCCAGCACCACCATTGACGTAAAAGAAAAACTGCTCAGGATTTAGGCCACAAACACGCTTTACGCACCAGTCTCTGACTGCATAGAACACACATGCTTGTTTTTGGTTCAGGTTCTGATACATCTGTCGTAGCAGTGTGGGGTCAAAGGCCGGAGGCTCTCTGATGGCTCTGGCTTCTGTTGCAGCATTACCATGATTAGTGTATTCTGGAACATTTTCTTGAACATTTTCATGATCTGGCTCTCTTGCCTCAAGTTCATCTATACATTCCAACCTTTCCACTTCAGATTCTGGAGCCAGATTGCACCATTCATCAATCACTCCTCTGTTCTGTTCAAATTCTTCCACTGCATTCTCAATGTCCTCGCTGTTTTTGTCATATTTGTCTTTTTTTCGTTTCACAATGTGTCGGACATACTCAGGATGGTCAGAACCTGGTAGTTGGACACAACCACTCTTGAAGAAGGACTCGTACGTGGGGAAATGCCGTCTTTTCAGTTCCAGGTCTGATCGGTGAGGAATGTACAGTTTCAGTAATGTGCCATAGAACTTCTCTGGATATTTTTCCTGTGAGCAGCGGTAAAATCTGATGATGGCAGGCTTATCGTTTTTACGCTTTTGCACAAATCCCATATCATTGAGGAGAGGCAACACATCTTTTCCTTTTTTCTGCTGGCCGTAGACAATTCTGCAAGTTGCTGCAAAATCTGCCAAACACATCTGCTCAAACTCACCAGTGTTTCTGGTCTCGATTTGTATTTGTCAGTCAAAGACGTCATCCACATATTTACACTTTCTAATGTTGTGTTCTCCAGGTAAGACATGGGGCGACTCATTTTCAGTGCGTTGTCATCTGTCGGTACGAATATGACACCACGTGAACACTTCTTCATGTTAATTCCACATGCGCGTGTCACACACTCCTGAGCACTGACCTCTCTCTTTTTAGAGTACGCCTGCATGATTTCCCTCATTTCATCACATTCATTGACGTGGTCTTTGGTGGAGTTTTCAATGACTGTTTTAAGGTACTCAGAAAGTCCAGATTCCTTTTTGGTGATGTAGCTGGTGAGATACATGATGCACGAATATGCATTGAGAATATAACTGACATCAATATTGGCATCCCAGGCTTCCAGTAGATGTGCATTATATCCATTTACCCAGCAGTCCTTTGGCTCACGTTTCAGGATCACCGAGCACTGGATTTGTTGATAACATTGAGGCATCCTTCATACTCTTGGAGTGTTAAGTTGCATTTAACGAGGAGCTGCTGCAAACTGAGTGAGGCAGTTTCAGGTTCATTCAGCAACAGGTTCAGTGGTTGGAGCTTGGACTTTGCTATTTGCAGTTGCAGTGGAGCAACGCCCTCACCAGGTCTCGATATCATTGTCTTTCTGGAAGGTGGTTTACGAAAACCAAATCTGCAACCCGAGCTGGGGCTTCTGAAACATGTCCGTGAGTATTTTTTGCTGTGTATTTGCACCTCTGTGACCTTCTTGTACAGTTCAGGTTGTGTGAGTTGGTCAGGTAGCTGAGCTGTGATGTATTTAGACACAAAATCTGAAACAATCTTATCATCATCCTCCTCAAACACAGGTGCACCTTCTACCCATATGAGACAGTGAATGTGTGGACTTCCTCTGTGCTGAAACTCAACTCGGTAAAAGTAGTCAACGACTTTGCCAAGAGGCTGTGCAGGAGATAAGAGCACATCTCTGAATAAGGCCTCAACACGCTTATCAAACATGCGCATGGTTGTCACAGGATTGCTTCTCAGAATGTCACACTTTGCTGACCAGTCGAGCCCTTCAAAGTTCACCTCCTCACCTTGCTGTCTTTTTATTGCCTCAATCACTTAATGCCAACGCATCTCAGCTGCAGAAAATGTACAAAAGAATGTGGGAGTTCCCAACTGTCTGATCATGACGAAAATGTCTCGTGTGGTTTTCTCCCAGTAGGCTGGTGTTCCTCTCAGCGGCTGCATGAATCTGACTGCATCTTTGTTCCTCACCAGTTTCTCTACCTCTCGTTTGTTTTGCAGCATACCAGACGTTATTTTTCGTCCATCTCGAGTCATTGGCTTTCCTTTCCTCAACTGTATCGTCATGCTGGATGTGGCCAAGTGTATTTCAGTCACAAACTGAGCAAAGAACAAGTAGTTTGTATCTCTGGCAAAACGATCATCAACACAGAAAAGCCTCGCTTTGAAATAACTACTGGGTGTTACTTTCATACGTCTCCCTTCATCCAGTGTGTTTTGGCCTGTAGGGAACTGCACAGGGAAAGCCATCGCCTCAAGTTTAGGAGTTTTGAAGAAACCAACTGGACTGTTACTTTCTGCAGGGGCAACAGAGTAGATTCCTTCACTGAAACATAAGATCTCCTCTGAAACATCACACGGCTGAAGACATGATTCTAGAGCAAAACCACCGTTAAGCATTTCACCTTCCTGTTCTTCATCATCTCTCTGCTGTTCTGGTTGTTCACCATCACAAGACAACATGTCAACATCCTGCTCTCCATCAAGCTCAGTTTCTGTCTCACACAGCGCACTTTTCTCACACATGTCAATTTCCTTTAAATCAGCATCATCATAGTCGTTGTCATCCATAGTGGGATCATCATCATCATCCTCATCTTCATCAGGAAGTGTT